GAATGATCAGTAGGCCTTTAAACAAATTGTTTTGCATCATTTTGAATTTTGGTAAAGATAGTACACTGGCATTTGGTGAGAAAACCCTGTAGGTATTTTTCCATTAAAATATTTAAACATATTTAACCACATTTCAGGAATCAATAAATTAAAGGCAATTCAATATAGAATTATAAGGTAAAGACATATATTTACTTTTACAAATACTCTAGTTTTAATGCCAATTACAGGTACATAACATTCAACAGCTTTTATCTGTCTCCTTGAAACATCCTTGATATATATCATCTCTCATAGTTAAGTGAGGATTATTATGAATTTAATGATGTCTTTGCTGAGTAATCTTGAATTCTGCTCTTGACTGTATAAGCATTCTTTAAGGAATTTCATAAAGGATCCCCCATCTACCCCCCAAACCACAAATTAATAAAAACAAAAACAATGAAATTAATATTTTTTTACATCTTAGAAGAATGAGCTAAATTAGAAAAAAAATTAACAATTAGATTTTATACACTTTTATGTATTTAACGTAAAAGTTTTTATGGTATAACCTAAAACTTTACTTTAAGTACATTTTTCCTTGTAGCTTTAAGCTTTAAACTGTCACTATCATATTAAAAAGATTGTGCTGACCTGTGTATTTATGTAATATAGGATCAACATACCCTTAGCTTGCAGATCTCTCTATCTTTCTCTAGTCTCAAGTTTTTTACCATCTCCATATAATGGTTACCAATCTCATCCATTTTAGCCTGCAGCATCGGGCCTGTGCAAGTCTCAGAAACCTTCACACAAAAATACAACATTCCATAATTGATTATTACAAAATAAATACATGCTATGTTATAAGGTATATGATTACATCATTACCATAGAATTAAATAATACATCAAAATAATGACAGTAATTTTGAGGAACTGTTTATTTTAAACTCAAATGTCAATATGATAAGACCTATGTGTGAAATCATCAGAGAGCAGTCCATGTACTTTATCAGAATAACTTATATCTATTTATCTATCTATCTTCTATATCATATATCTATATTATATATAGATATATAATGGTATATATCTATCTATAAATATATCCTATATATAGTACATATACTATAGATATCTATCTATAAATATATGTATATATACTATTAGCAATGTATAACTATGTAACTAAGGCAATACTATATATTTAGAACAAACACTTAATACCTGCATTCTAAGGTTTTTATTCTCTTGCTCTAAATTATGTTTACAAAATTCCAGTTCTTTCAGTCTGTATTCCATGTCTGATAGTGTATGTCGAAGAGAAAGATTATTTTCTTCCAATGTTTGACATTTGGAGCTTGAGTCTTGAAGTCCTTGCTGTAAAGAAGACAGAAATACATTAAAAAAGAAAACATTTCACTTTTTGCAGGGGAGTATTCTTTTAATTGATTCATTCAGACAAATCAAACAAATATTTTTCAAGCTCAGTTTTCTCATATTCTTGCCTTTAGATGGTATGTTAAGTCAGCTGTGTAAAATATTCATCTTGCCCTTAGTTTTACTTGCCTAACACAAGTGGGAAGATATCAAGACAAATTTTCAATGTCCCAATTTGGTAAACAGATTCTTGCTGCTCTGACAATACTGTATCTTGCCTTCTATTCTTCACCAAAGTGATCCTGTGCCTACTTATGTGACAACTAGCAACTTAGTAAGAAATTGTAACAGTCCTGAGAGCAGAGATTAGAAAGCCAATGAGCCTAAAGCTCATTGCAATTGCTTATTACAATTGCCTAGGAAACATTTCTACTCAGAGGTCTTTAAATCTCTCTAGAGTTCATTCATTTCATATTCATTTCACAAGCCAGGATCTGCAAATGCTGTTTTCATTAACACATTAATAGATAAAATGAATGAATGAACCTAGACTTTTAGTAATTTATAGAATTTGGTCACCAACAATATAAATATTGTGGCACTATATACATTGCATATATACTAAAGTCTGTTTTTTCTGAGGAGACAGTCATTGGAAATATCCAAAGCCACTCAATTCTCATAATGAACAAATTGTTCTGTTAGCATTTTAATTCTTCCTGGGTTGTATCTCAAAACTTTAATATGCTAGTAATAATGCATATGAAAAGTTATTCATCTAGTTTATCACCAAGAAAAAAGCATTACTTTACTTGCTGCGGCGATTATTTGCTCTCACTGATGCAGAGAGTTCTTCATACTCTTTTATTTGTGTTTCTTGAATGCAAGTCTTTCTCAGTCTATCTTGTCATTTTCAGTAACTAGAAGCATAAATTATTTATGACTCAGAATTACAGAAATTTGTCAACAGTTACATAGTACAGAGATTATTTACATTGGAAGATTTAAATCAAACACTTATTGTCATTTGTAGTTGCTTAATAAGCAGAATTTCTTAAAGTTAGCAAATAAGAAATAGAAAATGGTTGAAACTTAAAAACCTGTATTGAAAGAAGACATTTTGATGGATGACTCTGAGTGCAATGAAGCAGAATCTTCTGAATTATTTTAATGTTTTCTCCATTCTACAAAGACTCTTCTTTGTTAATCCAGCAGGTGGGTGAATTTCCAAATTAGAGTCAACTGCATTCATGACAGAATGCAGTAACAAACAAACAACAACAATAACAAAAAAAAATACTCCAAAGTCCTCAAGCAGTTATTCATTGTATGGAAAACATTCTGCATGTAATCTACTTGATGGCACTAAAAGAACACCAATAAAATAGAAAAAGGAAAAGGTAAGTTTTTGAGAAAAGAAGTTTTCAGGTTGTTATATTTCAGGAGAAATTCAAGTATGCTTTATTATTACAGAAAGAAGAATGCCCATTCACTGAGTCAGAGTGTTCTAATTTTTGTGTGATACCCTGGCTTTCAGCATTAAATCGCCTTAATGGTAAACTAAATGTGAATGAACAATTTATTTTATCCTCTTTCAACTCTGTTTAACTATTTTAGGAAAATAATTTAGCTATGTATGAATATGCAAAATATTGTTTTAAAATTTTTAAAGGTACATTGAATGCCTTCATTTGTAGCTTAAGAAGGTAGGAATTAGAAACGATTGGAAGAAAAATCAAAATAAGTCTTACTGTCAAGTCATTTTGAAGATGTCCAAGCTCCTCTCGTATATTGCTAAATGTGGACAGCACTAGATGGAGTGACTTATCTGACATACCCCTCATCTAGAGGAAGAAAGCAATTGGTGGTTTATTTTTACTAACATTTGAAAACAAGCAATATAAGTTAAAGTAATTTTATTTTTCTGTTACTACCAGCAAACTTATTTGCAATTCTATTTTTTGATAAGATGATATTAGAATAGGGACACAAGACATTTTTCAATATGTGTTTTAAGCAATCTAAGCATATTCTAAAAAGATCACAGATATGTATTTGAAACAAGGGTTTATTATTTTGTACATTACAAGGTATAGTCTTTTTCATAAGACTGAATTCTATCAACAAATTCTTGATTTTATTTTAGCACTTTACTTAAAAGATTAAAGAGAGGAGATGTGACACTGAACTTTCAAGTAATAAAATGAATCCTCCTCAGTTCATCCCAAGCACATGGATTTTGCCTGAAGTGAGAATTTAATACTAGATATGATTGATTTTGAAGTATAAAACGATCTCAAATTTTAAAGAACAGGATGAAAAAAGTCCTTTGCATTAGATTAGATTATTCTCATGTGTTTAAAGAAAAATAGTTTTAAAAAGGTAACTTCAGCTTCTGGAAAGATGGAAGAGATAAAATTTTCCCTAGTTTCTTGCTAAATGCAGATAAAATTCCTGGACATTATATCTGAAATAAATATCAAAAGACCCGGAATGGTGAAAAGAAAGAAGACTGGTTAGGATCTTTAAGATTAAGAAATGACACAAGAGTGGGTTACTGGGATATTCTTATTGTTCTATATATCACAGACTGCTGCTATTGGGAAAGCTGGTAAACCAAATACATCCATGGATGCAGGCATCGAAATTCCTAAGAAGTCCTTCTCTCTCTAGGCAAAGCACCAATAAAAAGGGCAGCCTACAAGACAGCAAACTTTTAGGCAATAATAACCACTCTACTTTAGGCACACATCACAGAAGAAAAAAAACCTGCAACTCTAACTAATCTCACCCAAGCAATAAAAGGATGAAAGACGAGACTAGACTTCCCTCATCATCCAGTTCTAAGGTGAAGCACTACCATTCACTAGGTTGGTGTCAGAGTGGAGAGATGGGGCTTTCATCCTAATGGGGTAAAAATGAAACCCCAAGGACTGTAGTGTCAGTTAATACCATGAAGGGAGTTTGGCTTTCATCCTATTTTATCAAGAGGTGATGAGTAGGGAACTTCTTCCACTTCTACCTGGCACTAATATACAATGCCCCAGTTCCTCTGATGTTTCAGTATCAGATTTGAATAATACCCAGGGTGTCACAACATGATGCCAAAAATATCCAGGACTCAATCAAAAATCACTGACCATACCAAGAGCAAGGAAAATCTAAATTTGATAAGAAAAAACATTTAATACAGAGTCCACTCAAGATAAAAGAAATGTTAGAATTAAAACAAAGGGATTTTTTAGCAACCACCATAAATGCTTCAGAAAAAAAATAAAAACAAACTTGAAACAAATATAAAGTACAATTATCTCAACAACTGTTGCAGGATACTCAAGGACAGGGAAATGGGACACCAAAGCAGTTCAAAAGGAAGCAAAGTTTAATTGTTCCAGCACAGACTCAGTGGACTTGTGTTCAAGGCTGATCCCCAAGAACAAAGGACATTAGATCAAGGACAAACACAACAATCGGATTGGACTATGAGCACATGATAGAAGCGAGAGCATACAAGGGAGGGGTGAGGATAGGTAAGACACCTAAAAAATTAGCTAGCATTTGTTGCCCTTAACGCAGAGAAACTAAAGCAGATACCTTAAAAGCAACTGAGGCCAATAGGAAAAGGGGAACAGAAACTAGAGAAAAGGTTAGATCAAAAAGAATTAACCTAGAAGGTAACACACACGCACAGGAAATCAATGTGAGTCAATGCCCTGTATAGCTATCCTTATCTCAACCAGCAATAACTTTTGTTTCTTCCTATTATTGCTTATACTCTCTCTACAACAAAATTAGAAATAAGGGCAAAATAGTATCTGCTAGGTATTGAGGGGGTGGGGGGCAGAGGGAGGGAGCAGACTGGGTGGTAATGGAGGGGGTGGGGGCGGGGGGGGAGAAATGACCCAAGCCTTGTATGCACATATGAATAAAAAAAAAAAAGAACAAAGGAACCTTACCTTATATGCCTTGCAAGCAAGCTACAGAAGCAAGAAGCAAGGTTTAACTCATATATGGTTGCATGCAACTCTATTGGCTACTTCACCCTGCAGTGTTACATGACTTTCTTCACATTTATATTCTTTAAGTTTTATTTCCCTGTTATGCCATCCTCACTCCCTGCTACATTATCAGAACACAGACTTTGCTTGCTTCTTTTCTGTCCCACCTCCTGCTATACAGAAAATAGAAAAGTCTGAACAAGAAAAAGAGGCCAAAGAATAACTAAATAGAAATTTTAGAATTTAAAAAAATCTTAAAACTGAAACAATAAAAACCAAAAACCTCTCATTGGATAAGTTAAAAGGTAAAATGGAGAGGACAGAGAAAGAATAAGTAAATGAAAATAAAGATACAAAAGAACATATATAATCCAAGTAATAGATAAAATAGATTAGAAGACATTAAAACAGCCTAGAGGACCAATAGAAGTATTATACCATCTAATATTTATGCTATCAGAGGGAAAACAGGGATGGAACTAAAAAACTATTACAGAAAATAATGGCTAACAAATTCCTCAAATTATCAAAACCTACTTAGACATATTCACAGAATTCAAGCATGCCCAAACAGGATGAACCCAAAGAAATCCATTCCCAGACAAAGCAGAGTCAAACTTCTTAAAGTAAAAGACAAAATAAAATTTGAAATTAGCAAAAATTTGAACGCAGCAAAAACACTTAATTGTTAGTAGTATCATTTAAAATTTTGGTAGGTTTCTCATCAGAAACCATGGAGACCAGAAGGAACTGACACTCTATTTTCTTAAGTGCTGAAAGAATAGAACTGCCAATTCAAATTTTGTATCTAATTGAAACTCAATTCCCTTAGGAATGAAGAGAAATCACATTTTCAGATGAAGGAAAGTGAAGATAATTTGAACAAAAGCAAAATAGTTAAAAGAAGGGTAAAGGAATTTCTCTATAGAGAAGAAAATGATAGAACAAGGAATTTGTAAACTTATAAAGGAAAAAAAGCACGATAAATAAAAATATTGGTAAATATTTTTATTTATATATATAAACATAATTTTATATAACAATATATAATATGCAAAAAATATATAATATATAAATATATGTTTTTATAAAAGTATAATACATATATATACAAAGCTTTCCTTCTCTTAAGTTTTCTAAATTATGTTTAATGGTTGAAGTAAATAAAACCTATAGAATTTCCTAAATATGTTCTTAATGTATACAGAAAGAATACTTCACACAATAGAATATAAATATGGAGGGTAACAAAAGATAAAGGAACCAAAGTTTTCTACAGTTTATTGAAGCTGGCAAAATGTATGCACCAATACACTGGAATAAGTTACAGATATATAATGTAATATCTAGAGCAAGCACTAAAAATATGCAAGAGATGTACTCACAAGCACTAGTGTCAAATCAAAACCAAAATATAAAAAGGGAATTCAAGTAATCCACAAGAAAACAGGGTAAAGAAAATAGGGAAATAATATAACAGAGAAAACAAACAAAATGGCAAATCCTAGCCCTGATACAGTAATAATTGCAATTTCTTTTTCATTTTCTTTCTTTCTCATTTTTTGGCAGTACTGGGTTTGAACTCACAGGCTTTGCAACTTGCTTGGCAGGTACTCTACCAGTTGAGCCACATACCAAGCTTTTGTTTTAGTTATTTTTTGGATAAGGGTCCCTGTTTTATCCAGAACCAGCCTCAGATCATAATCCCTCCTACCTTATTCTTCCCAGTAGCTAGGACCAGATGTACATGCCACCGTGCCCAGCTTTTTGCTGTTGTTGTTGGTACAGGGCCTCAATAACTTTCTGCCTGGACTTGCTTCAAACTGAGATCCTCCTGATATCCATGTACCAAGTAGTTGGGATTATAGACATGCACCACCACACCTGGCCCACAATTTCTTTAAATACACTAATTAAAATACATTGATTGACAGAGTAGAAAAAGAAAAAAGCATTATCTGACTTTGTCTATAATAAATTCACTTGAAATATAATGGAAGGTAGATAGATATGAGAGAAAGAGAGAGAGAGAGACAGAGAGAGAGATAGAGATAGAGAGAGAGAGAGAGAGAGAGAGAGAGAGAGAGAGGTTGGGAAAATATACCCTTCAATACTTAATCAAAAGAAAGTTTGAGTGGCTATATTGATATTAGATAAAATTGACTTTAGAGCAAAGAAAGTTACTGAGGGCAGAGAGAGATTAATAAGATAAATAAGTTGATTCAACAAGAAGACATAATACTCAATGTTTATGAACAAAATTACAGCTATAAAATGTGTAAAATAAAAAGTGTTAGAACTGAAAGGAGAAAAACAAAAGTCCCCAGTCATAATTGAAGACTTCTATACTCATCTCTCAACAATTGATTGACGTATTTGGCAGAAACAGAGGAAGAATATAGAAAAAGCCAACACAACAACCAAACATTCCAGTTGACACTTACAGAATAAGTGTCAACAGCAGCATAGACATTGTTTTTGAGTACACATGGAATATATCCTTAATTATAAAACAAAACATAACCATTTTAAAATAATTGTTCTCAGACAAAATATGTTTTCTGACTACAATGGGATTGAACTAGAAATCAATGACAGAAAGACAACAGCAAAATCTCGAAATACTTGGAAACTAAACAATATACTTTTCAAAAATCCATGAATGAAAAAAAGAAATCTAAAGGGAAATAAGAAATACATAGAAGTGAAAGAAAATGACAATTCAACACCATAAAATTTGTGGGACACAGTGAAAGTTGTGTAAGAGGAAAATTTAAACACTAAATGCTTACATTAGAAAATAAGAATGATCTCAAGTCAGTAATCTAAGTTCATAGGTCAAGCAACTAGATAAAGAAGAACAAAATAAACTAAAAGCAAGCAAAGAAGGGAATAATAAATATGACAGTAGAAACATCATTTTATGGTGAAAATATTAAAAATTTATTATTTAGCAATTTTCAAACAAATCAATAAAGGTGAAAATGGGAAAACATTAAGAAGTGTCATTAGATAATAAAATTTGTTTCTTTGAAAAAAATCATAGAGTTGATAAACCTCCAGCAAGATTAACAGAGAAGAATGAAAGAAAATATTAATTGTTTTTATCAGGAACTAAATAGGGGGTAACAATACAACACTGTAGCCATAAAAACGATAATATGGTGATATTATAAACACCTAGACACACATGGTTTACAACTTAGCTAAAATGGACTACTTTCTTGAAAGATACAAGCTACCACAGATCACCCAATATAACACAGATTATTTGAATAGCCCTATAAAAGTTAATATATTGAATTTATAATCCTTAAAAAATTCTCCAAGCCAAATTCCCAGAGCCACATATTTTAACTGGCAATTTCTAACAACTGTTAAGGAAGAACTAAAAGCAAATCAGCAGACTTTTTTAGAAAACAGGAAAGTCAGAAACAATTTTTAATTAATTTCATTTATAAAACTACTATCATCATGATACTAAAACCAAAGAGAGTATAAAAAGAAAACTGCAAATCAATGTCTCTCATGAACTTAGATTTAAAAAGCCTCAGAAGGTGTTGTCCACAAAAATAGACCTCAGATGCATTTAGATGGAATCTCACTGTCAGAAACAATGACAAGGATATTTCCCAGATATGGGTTCTTTGCAGGGTATGTATTCTTCCCACTATTACCTCCTTATAATACAGATTGTGAGCCACTAAAATTAATATTTCATTTCACTTTCACTAATATATCACCATGGCCAATATTTGGGTGATCAACAAAGGTCTAAAATCAACTATCAAACTTAGACACTGGCCTCACCAGATAAAACTAGATTATCTTCAGAATCCTTCCTTGCAAATACATGTACTTTTCTTTTTAGTCATATTTTCTTAGCATCTGTCTCAATCTGTGCTCTCTTTCTGCACCATAGCCAAATTTATTGCTCCAGTGGTCTCTACCCTTCCATAACAGGAAAAGCAAGACTCTGGCCTTTCCTTCTCTCCCTGTCAGTGGATGTAGTAGTGAGAGGTGAGGTAAAGGATGAAATGGAGAACAGAAGGGCAAAGACTATTAATTAGGGACAAGTTGTGCTAAAGCAGTGAGGAGGGAGTAAGGACATTCCACAGCAGTAAACACTATTTCTAGAATGATTTGCTAAATGCTAGTCAGTCAATCCTAGTTTTTGATGGTTTATTAAACTATAGGCAACCCTTGCCTAATTAAAATAATCAATCCTTGTGAAATAGGAAATTTATTTGGCATTTCCTGTTCTTAATTAAGAGAGGCATTCTAGACAGTAGTTTGTTAGTGTTGATTTCACACACCCACTCCTGACCCCATCTCACCTGCAGAATATAGCGAATTTGCTGTTTTGTAAACTCTGATAATCCTGTAGGAATCAATGATTCGATGTCTTCTGACTGTAAGAAAATAGGTATTTTAGTCTTAGTATCAGCATTCCACAGATTTCTATATAGTGAAGCACATTGTTTTACACATAATAAAAGATTAACTCACTTACTGAAGAATAGTTTCTACAAACTTCATTTCTAGCCTTATCAGCCCTTACTTTAAAAATCAACTATATTACACAGACATGGAAAGAACACTGAATTCCTCACATTTTAGGGAAAAGATTTGGAAAACAAATCAAACATTCCATGTATGTTTTTAAAAAGCAATGCAGAGCTGGATGTGGTGAAGTGTGCCTATAATTCCAGCACTTGGGAGGCTGACACAGGAGAATCATGAATTCATGGCCAGCCTGGGCTACAAAGAGTGAGACCTTGCCTTAAAAAATGACAAAATGCAATTTAGGGCTAGGGATATAGCTCAGTGATGTGCAAGGCCCTTGGTTAGATCCTTAGGAGTGAGGGAAACAATGGTCTTTAGCCGGGAATGATGGCACAAGTCTGTAATCACAGCACCAGAGAGGATGAAGCAAGAGAAAGCTAAATTTTTAAATAATGAAACTTTGGAAACTAGAAGTAAAGGTGTTGCAGTATTTATTGAAAATTTACATAAAGCTATAGTAACTTTTGAAAGATTATGGTGTTGTCACAGCAACACTGAAAAGCTTCAACAAATTTTAAGAGAGAAGTTAAATTGAAGTAAATGCTTTTTAAAGCAATTTAGGACTTACTGGATTATAGTAATAAATGTACTATAGCAGTACATTGGAAATAAAGATAACAATGAATACAAAAGAGATGATTGTACTTTTTATTCATTAAAATCAGTTCTTTCTCTATTTGATTACTTATTCCACTAAAAGAAATTATTAACAAAATTGATATGTAATAGAACTAATACTTGCAAAAATTTACTTCAAGTAAAATATATAAGCACATATAAGGTTTTGAAGCATATTAGAACCAAATTTTCTATTTAATTAGTTATTTGTATAGATTTCAGTTTTGTAAATCAGAGTGTGTGGCCAATTAAATTTTAAATGCTCTGATAAAAAAGACAATTTAAATCTGAAAATGACAGCTGATAAAACATTTTTGTGATTATTATTTTATAACCATTACAAAGATATAAATGGTTATATCATCTTAAAGACAAAATGATAATTATTTCTTTCACTAACCTGTGTTTCCAGTCTATAAAAGAACTAATTTAAAAGAATATTATTAGTGCAAGTATCAGAATATACCTTGTTAGCTACTATATTTGGTTTTAAATTATTTTTATACTTACTTTATCTGTAGATTCAATGTCCTGTCTGCTGAAAAAGTAACAAAAAGGATAGATAACCTTAGCAATTGATCATACATAAATGCCACTGCGCAACTTATTTTATATTTTGTTTTATCAAAATAGTACTGGTTCAATTTACAATCATAAATGAAAAATTAAAACAATGTAAAATGGTACTTTCAGTTAGTTTGACTAAAATAACTTTCCCAGACTTAGTTGACCTGTTGAAAATAAAAAAACATCTGAGTAACAAAACCATAAAATATTCAGAATTGGTTAGTATATCATTCATTAGCAATGGTCCATTTGAGGCAAGATATAGAAGTCCTTGATGCTTGGCAATAAATGCTACCTGGGTGAATAACGTAATAATAATAGTTTTTCTCTCTCTGTTTCCACCTCATTTTTCTCCTTGTTTTGATCCCTTTTGATGTTAATTTCATGTTCTTTCTACATTGTTTTTATCAAAAAAAAACTTGGAAGATAGAACCAACTCATTTAATCTATATTATGCATGGCAGTGATGAGGCTTGAAAGGTATCTGAGTCTTTATAAAGCCTTAAGCAAAATGACCAAAATTCTGGTAGTATAACAAAATTTCCAGAAACAAAATGATTATTTCGCCTTTTGCAGAGCCATGTTAAGTAGGCAAATGCTGCAAAATTGTTAGTAGTTATACCAGACTTGTACTTACTCCTTTGGAAATGATGGAAAACTAGAACAAATACAGTTTTAATATTGTTAGGAGTAACAGAAAGGACTTTCTTTACTTCCTCCCTCTGCTCTTAGTAGAAGAATTGAATCTGAATACATATGGTAAGCACACTTCTCAAACACACAAAAAACAGTTACACATGTTCTGTAGGCAAGACAGAATATGTTAAATTAAGATGATCTTAGGATAATAACACCTACATTTACCTCTTAAGTAATTATGAATAATATACTGCTAATACAGAGAAATGAGCCACTCACTGAGCAAAACCACCTGCACACATTTATAAAAACATACAAGTTAGTGTGGAGAAAGAGAAATGAAGTTTCCATTTCCTAAGGCATGTCTAATATATATGCAATTGTCTGCATGTATGTATGCTATATTTCCCGTGTGGCCCAAAATAGGAATGTGGTAAAGGCCTAGTAAAAATGAAATATCTTCTAGTTTTTAAATGCTTTATCAAAGTAAATGCATATATATATTTGAAGCTAAAGCAAGTTAAAATATGAGTCATAATGCAGTTTCAGTAGCCTTACATTAATGTTAACTAGCATTATGATACTTATTAATAAATGACTTTGTGTTTAAAAAAATACTAATCCTTTCTATCAGTTCCAATGTCAATTTAGTATATATGTCCCTAGTCACTTACTTCTTTCTATCTATAAAGAAAACAAAACCAATCAAGACGGCCAGCAATAGACAGTGTACAATATTGGAATCATAGCAAGTAGTCAGAATGGTTGCACAAGACAACCTTGTTTAATTCTGACCATGCAGCCCACTCATTGCTGAATTGCATTTTGGAAAGAGAAGAAAAAGTGGAGACAAAAGGTGAGGGAAACAGGCAGAAAGTGGAAACAGAGAGCAGATCAAGGAGATGGAAAGGTCAGTGTGGATTAAATCTCCATTCAGCACTGGGGGATGGTGGCTGGAATTACATGGGTCCAAAAGAGAAACAGAGTGACACTACATGGTATTTCAACTTCTAGAAAGGTGGGAATACAATAAGGAAAAATAAGAAAGGAACTACAGAAAGATACTAACAACTGACAAATGAAACTCTTAAACACAAAAATTTTATGAGATCTTATGTATTCTGGAGTGTTTACTAATTGTGAAATAATTCAACTTTCTTTTCTCAGTTATTTCTTTGTCTGATTTTTTTAAGGTAAATCTCCTTATGTAGCCTATGCTGGCTTCAAACTCACGATCTTCCTGCATTATCCTCCTAAGTGTTGAGACTACAGACATGTACAACTACTACCCCTGGCTCTCTACTTCTAATCAGTATGAGGCAATGCATGTGGAATATATTTAACTTATATTGTATAAATTTTATTGAGTAGCTACTTTATAAAGGCCATATAATCTGAAATGTTCTTGGGTGATATAAAACATGAATATTATCCTGTCCCTATACTTTATACAAACATTAAGTGCTCCAAAGCTGGTTTTTTTGGGGGAACTTGGGTTTGAACTCAGAGCTTTGTGTTTGCAAAGCAGAAGTTCTACCACTTGGGCCACAGCTCTAGTCAATTACGATTTGGTTATTTTTTGGAGATGGGGTCTTGTAAACTATTTGTCTAAACTAGTCTCAAACCATGATCCTCATGATCTCAGCCTCCTGAGTAGCTAAGAATATAGATGTAAGCCACTGGTACCTGGCTTCCAAAGCATTTTTACATGATGTAAAAATCAGCTTAAGGCTTGTATTGTTCTTAAATTTCATGATTCAAACAATTTATAACTTCCTCAACTTGTCTGTACTGTCTTAAGCAATCTGTTTGACATTACATGTCTATTTTTGAAGGTTAAGCGATTTACCTAAGAAAAAAGTATTCAGATATATTAAATGCTAGTCTCTATAAATCGAGCACACATAAATAGAATAAAAACAATGGTGAGTTGGTATGGGACTATGTCTTCTATCATAAATCATAAATGTAATATTTTAAAACAAGTCATAGTATACCATGGATTTTTGTAGTTGACACATAAAGCTTGTACATATTTATGGGGGTATCATGTGGTGTTTCAATACATGCATACGTTATGTTATATTAAAATCAGGTTAAATATGTCTATCTTACAAACATCTATTATTTATTTATGGTAAAAATACTCAAAATCCTTTCTTCTAGCCTTTTGAAATGTGCAGTTCATTATCATTATCTATCCATAGCTACTACGCTGTGCAACAGAACAACAGCACTTTTTGCTCTATCTAACTATAATTTATTATCCAGTGATCATAACTTCCCTCTATTACAACTCTGTACTATCACAAGCTTGTGGTAACCACTATTCTACTCTAAACTTCTATAAGATGAACTTTTTAGATTTCACATGTTAGTAAGATTATGGTGGTAACCACATCAAGGCAAAAAATCATGTTTACAATACCTTCCTCCAATTCTCTGCAAATGTTCTAATAAGCAGTGATAGAGATCTGTATTCTTACGGCTTAGGTCAGCAAGCAACTCTCCAAAATATTTGGGGTCCAATTTTTCAGGGCCATCATCCTGAAGTATCATCTGAAACAAAACATCAATCACAATTATAAACAATACGATGTACTTCTAAGTTCATAGATATATTGATGTGACATGAAAAAAAGTAAAATTATCTATTTGTCATTACATGGATCAAACCACTAAATTTTCTTTGCACCTCAGGCATATGATTTTCAATAGGGGAGGAATTTAAGGGAAAAATCAGTATTGAAATAGCATTTTCTATTTCATGTCACTCAAGTCTAAGTGATTTAGCAAATTCAAAACTTGAATAACATAACATAGGGACTTAAATAGAATAGTAAAATAATAAAAATCTCTGAATTCCCCATTATAACACATGGCTTTCTCATCTGCCTCCTGTGGGAGAAGAAAATGTGAATTTCTTGAATTATACTGACTATAGGAGAATTACTTTCATTCGGACTTGCATATTCTCAATGAAAGTCAGTTTAAGCTAATAAACCTCCTCAATTCACTGTATTTTACATATTTCTTCTTGGAATCCCTCCATTTATTATGTGGACAAATAATGTCCATGGATAAGATGGGTTAAGGGCCAAGTGCAGAGAATTCATAGACCTAAGAGACATTTGAAATTCTAGACATAAATTATTATGAATAGTGTCCTAAATAAGAAACATTTTATTGACTTCATATCCTTTTGTGGCAATCTTTCAACATTGTTGGCCACATTGCTTCCCATCCCTAAGGCACACTGCCCAAAGAATAATAACTTAGCCCATACTCTATACTACCTATAATACTGCATGGGGACCAAGTGCCCTAAAAACACATTTATTCCTAGGTGTACAGATAACAACAGTTCAAATTTGACCACTACTACTTCCTTTTCAATCTGTCTTCTTAATGCAGATCCTAAAAATCCATGCTTGCTGAGGTAAATGGAAAGATCACAAAGTCTGTGAAGCTGAGCTCTGTAACATGAAAATCATGTTTATAAAATATAGGTCAGTGAAGCTATCAAGTATAGTGTAGTATCATATTTTTATTAAAATATGCATTTTAAAGTCTGGCTGACACAATATTATCTTGTCCATACACCCTTTGGAATGTTTTCCCTAGTGAGGTAATAGTTGTCTCCTAAACAGTGTAAAGACCATTAAGTAGTTGGGTAAACCTGTAAAGTCATTATCATCATACAGTATGCCTAAATGTCATAGAACATATCAGTACTACATATAAATACATAGATATAGACTCTATATGAAAATTGACATAGAAATATCTATTTATGTTTTTATTTTTAAATTTTTCTTGGTGATACTGGGGTTTGAACTCAGAGACTTGTACTTGCCAGGCAGGCACTCTACTACTTGAGCCACTGCCTCAGCGCAATAAAGCCTTTAAACAGTTGTATAAATAAATATAGTAACAGTTTCTACATCCTAACATGCTCTCTGCTCTAGCCACTTCAGAATTCACTATTCTGTGCACACACAATGCTATTTCTTGTTCTTGGGTCTTTGCTCACATCGTTCATTACTTAGACTGCCATCTTTCCCTCTTGTTGTATGTTCAAATCTTATCTATCCTTCTAATCCTATCTCAAGATTTATTTCTTGTCATTCGCAAGTAAGTGGATGGAACTGGAAAACATCATCTTGAGTGAAGTAAGCCAGGCTCAGAAGGTCAAAAATCGTATGTTCTCCCTCATATGCAAACTTTAGACCTAAAACAAATGCAGTATTATTGGACATGGGACACACGCTAAGGAGAGAACACATACATGAGAAATAGGGAAAGGTAGGAAACCCAAAACTTGAAAGTGATTGATGTGTCCACTGTAGAGGAGTTAATATAGTAACCTTAAAATGACAGAGGTCACTATGGGAAGGTGACCAGGAAGTAGTGAAGAGGTCTGGTTTAGGTTGTAATACACATGTGCATGGAAGCAATGCTAGGAATCTCTCTGTATAGCTATCCTTATCTCAAGTAGCAAAAATGCTTTGTCTTTCTCATTATTGCTTATGTCTTCTCTTCAACAAAGTTGGAGAAAAGGGCAGAACAGGTTCTTCCTGGAAGCGAGGGAGGTGGGGGGGAAGGAAGGGGACAGGGAGCGGGGAGGAGAAATGTTCCAAACAATGTATTCACATATGAATAAATAAAAACAAAGATTTATTACATCCCTGAAAACAGAAACTATACTAATGAATAGAGCTAATTTAATTTAGCTTTTTTTCAATTGTCTTGAATTGTTTTCATACTATTTTATAGATATGTCTTATTCTCTCAGTACCTTCTTCCTACCATAAAAGAAATGAGTAAAAGATGAGTCATACTTTTGGTTATCCCATCCCATTGTCTCTAGCACAGTATGGATTGAGCTCTCTATAGCTTACTCTAAGTAAGTACTTGCTGAATAATAAGAAATCATCTACTGATTAGAACTGACTCCAAATGCCAGCTGATTCTGGAGGGGATTTTCTAGCAGGTCTGTCTCTTAAAGAAGTAAACAAAGAATGGGCAAGAAAGTGAAAAATGGTATAGGCAGCACTTTCTCAAGAGTATCATAGAGATCCCTGTACCTGCTTTCTACACCAAGAGGAGGAACAACTAAATTGCAGCAACTAAATTTCACTCCTTTATAGTTTAGGAGGCTGACATTTTCAGTTCTACCTAGAATTAGGGATCTTGGCCATTTGTTGATTAGTGATAGGCTTCTCTCAGGAAATTAAGGTCACAATTATGAAAGTCACTATTCAGAATAAGTACAAATACTTAAATGTTGATTTTATGTTTCACTCATGCATTCTCCCCTTATGAACCATCTATATGTTCATCAAACTGGGAGTGGTCTAAAACACAGTTTCTAATATGAGTTTTAAAATCAACATTAGTTAGGTAAGAATCTATATTGGGCTATCTTCTGTTACACAAATTAATACCTGAATTGGGTATTTTGTAAAGAACAGGTATTTATTTGGTTCACAGTTCTGGAGGTTCAAGGGCATGGCACTGGTATCAGTTCAGCTCAAATGAAGGCCTCATGGCAGATGGCATAAAAGTACTGGGAATGTGTGATAGAGACAGAAATCACATAGCAAGACAGATAGGCAGAGCAGGGGAAAGGTATAGGTTTTCTCCTTTTATAATAATTTTTTTATAAGAACTAACTCAGGGTCATACAAGAACTACCTTTATCCATTCAAAGGGCAATGACCCAGAAGATCTAACCAACTCTCATGGGTTCCACATATTAAAGGTCCCAAAATCTCTCAACATAATCACACTGGGGAATAAGCTTCCAACTTATGAACTTTTGGGGATAAACCACTTCTAAACTGTGGCAGTGATGGAAATCTAGGTGTAATGACAATGTCTGTCCATTGATCTTGATTATTTTCTTTGCTATAGATAATTTCCTTCCTTCTTCATCTCTCAGCATGTGTCTCTTCCATGATGACAACTTTCCCAAGCAAAATATGATATTTCTTTTGCCAAGGATGTTCAAGTGCTAGTTCCCTGCTAGAATTTCCAAACAACCAATATAATATGTTTAGTGTTTTGCATATTTTTCTCTATTAACTGAGAATTCTCTCATAATGTGAAAACCATGTTTCTTTTCCTTCTGGTTTGATCCATTTAATAGAGTAATTTCTTAGATGCAAATTGTCTTAAAATGTTAACTTTTTGCATAAGTATACTCTTGTCATTGTGCTGCACACTGATAGACCTTTCAGGTGCATTATTCATTACCCTCATAAATCATTACTGCCATTAATTAAATGTTTGTTTATGTGATTTCTGTGTGGTGGATTTAAGTAAAGGAACACAAAGGCTAGCAAGGACATGGTATGATTCAGATCAACACTGTGTTTATGTTCAAAGTTAGAAGGAGGTTTTAGAAGCTTCTAAAAAGAAATTATTTCATCCTGTGAAAAAAATAACTAATATTTATTTAGTACTTACTACATGCTACCAGGCACTTCCATGTACTTCACATAAAAATTAAATGAGGCAATCCTGTCTTACTGTACTACATTACATTGCCCCCACACTATATTGACTCTCTAAATGACTCCTATTTGTTTTCTTAGCTACTTTAGAATTATACTGCCCTATGTGTACTTTGGAGATTAGTAGGTTTAGGACTTGACATAGTAAGTTTTATTTTCTTATTGGAAAACTATGCAAAATACATCTAAAGTTCAGGTAATGAATTTTACATTGCTAAAGAAATAATAGGATTAAAATTCATTTTTTCAGAAATCAGTACTTTCTAAAAGGAAACCATGGATCTCACCTGACTACTGCCTTGAAATTTTTCCCCTAATTCCAATTTAGGATTTTGTTTCATATTTGTGATCTATGAAATTCTAGGAGTAGTAATTGGCATTAATCCCTTAAAAAATACAGCACATTTTAAGTACAGCATCATGTTAATAATTGGGTAAGAAATAGTTGGTCTCTTCCTATTTTATACTGTTAGTATCAAGCAACCCTAGCAAGGGAAAAAGCATAAGAATTTTAGGTTCTGAAAACATTCACTGTTATTTTGCTCTCCATAGATATTTTAATAAAGAAATGATGTATTATATAGTATCTGATACATATTAAAATAAATTGCTAACTTTTATGAAATTCTCTTAGTTGTATAAGAGTGAAGATATGGTCTTTATATCTTTTTAAAAATCCCATCACCTAGCATATGCCTGAATATAGTGTTTAATAAACACTTGTTGGATAAACAGATTGGATATTTTCATAATAACAAGAATAGTAATAATGCTGATTCTGTATCAACTTATCTTGTTAATCAAAAGATATATTAGGGACATTGCTTTCAACAGGCTAATCCTGTGGGGTAAGTGGTGAGGAAGTTTTAATCGAAGGTGAATTTGGGGCTGCATATTATGGAGAATAGATAGAAAAGCACTGGTTGGAAGAGGTGCTTTAATAAAACACACTGAAATGTGTTATAGTAAAATCTAATCAAGGCTGTTCTGACTCCCTTTTGGAGTATGGAAGTGTGTGTGTGTGTGTGTGTGTGTTTTGAC